AAATCTTACACATCCATTTTGCCATTTCCCAGGATGCATACACCAACCACATGAATCATAACCATTGAACTGTACTAATCCCTGCATTGGAGCACGAGCTACAGCATCAACACAAGATACCAACATGTATAATTTAAGTATTCGCTTTTCTCCGTTAATTATACATTCTATTCCCTTTTCATTAATTTTGTTCATTTCTTTCACGAATATATTTAAAAAAATACTCATCTCCGGTTTATTTTTACCAAACCACATTCCACACGTAATGACGTTTTTCAATCGGCTTTGAGGTGGTAATTCATTAATTTGTATTGGCCATATAGAATCTTGAGAACTTTCAAATCTTGGTGCGCCATCAGTATTGAATATAGCAGTGACATATCGACTCTTCTCATTTTGAGGTAAGTTTTTCACGAACATTTTGTAACATTGTCCATCATAAATGTCTCGAATCTCTCCAGTTTCATTGATTCTTTTATTTACAATATAATTATAATAATCTTCATGAGTCTTTATGAGATTTGAAATTTCGGTTGAAGGATCAAGAATCACAAAATAATTCGAAGCGGATACATGAGAGACATTAATTGATGAGTCGCACATATCACAATGAACCTGTTTAACAATTTCTTCAAATTTTCCCAAATAATTTGAACAAATTGAACATATTACGTGGTAATGTGCCCTTTCTTGAAAATTAAACAGTTTGTTAATTAAATAACGCAATTCTGGTAATATAGTTGAGCGTATAATATACGCTCAAAAATATTATTGATTAAACTTATTAAATTACAAATCGCAGTTAAGGGTAATGCATAAGTATAACTAAATTTCAGTATCATTAACATAAGTTCACCAGGACTTACTCTAACAGGAGTTGTAGTTTTGTGAAAAAAATCTGCGATTAATATTAAATCTAAAATATTTTTAGCTTTTTTCATTGAATCAGAGCTACTATGATATTCGTCACTTTCTGATATACATTCCTCAGGTAAGCAAAATGTTTCCGACGTTTCAGTTTTTATCTTAAAGAATACAATAATTACAATTAATGTTTTAAAATTATAAACGTTAACTATTAATATACCAATATAATTATTTATAGTTATATAACAACAAAGTATATATTACTTACTTCTCGTATTATATTTCTATCAGGTGAAATTGCTCTTTCTGACAGAATGTCTGTATTATTAAAATCAGTTATATTATAACTGTAATATTCTTCTTCTTCTTTCCAAACTTCTGTCATCTGTAAATTTATGTTGAAAAGAATATTAAGTTTCAATAAAAAATATAAACATAAATAGATCGGAATATAAAATATTAATTTCAATTAAGTATAATTACAATTTGACGTTCTTCATATGTGCGAGCCCTCTTTTTCAGTCTACATTTTTGTGGAGCTGTGACAGACTCATCACCTTCCTTCAAATTTCTTTTTGATCTTAATATTATTTTCCATTGTTTAACAACAATTGAAGGATGTCATATAACCTTATATTAATCCAGGAAGCCATCACTGAATAATTAGTAAACTATAATATATTGACTGAAAAAAAAAATATTACAAGAATTTACTATATATATATGTTATCGTATAAACAAAAAATAATAATGCACCATAATAATATTAAATTTAGATAGAAACTCTGTACAAATTATTTATAATAATTAATTAATTTTTAAACAAATTTACCGAAAACAAATACTTGAATAGTTTCCTTTATACAGCGTCCTTTATATTATATATTGGTCCTTATATCCTTGGATTCAATAAAGACAATCAATTATATTTAGCATTGTTCATTAAATATCGACACTTGATAAATCGAATTCATTAACAAGCACTGTCTTAAACACTACACAATAAACAGTTCGACCGTAACAAACATGAATTAAGACAAAGTGCGTTGTAATATTCACTTCGCAATCTTCTCAGTAATACGGGTAATACCAAACTAACCAAACTACATCATGAATGAAAGAATATCTAGATATATGATGCAACTTTTAAGTGCAAGTTGATTGGTTGCAAGAAAGAGAAGTTGTCGGATCTTTCTAGCCTATAGCCAATAGGCTTGAAATCTTTATCGTCCAGTTCGTGTAAAGGTACCCTAAGTCGAAAAGTTTTTTAGATGACGGCGATAGATAGGGACAATCCCGTTTCTCTTATACTGTTTCATCATCTTGATAGGTATAACTTTTCGTCGCAGTGAAATAGAAAGTGAAATACAGCTGTAAAATCTATCGGCAATTATCTACGTTTCTCGATTAAAATTGATTTAAATAAATTTATAAAAATGAGTGGAAATATTAATTTTGCTTGTGTGAGATTTATGGACCAAAAACAAGAAAGTTTTTGTGTGCCCATATGTGACATCAAAATGAAAGACATTGAAAAAAAATTGATACCCTTCAATCCAACAAAAGGAACAGATTTTGACAAAAATAATATTTATTTCGTGAAATGGTTGTGTCCTGATAAGTGTGATGAGGATCACGAGCATAACGGATATTTCAGAGCACAAATAGCATTTTTAGCTGGTAAGAAAATGTGGTAGTCAAAATAGCATAACAATGTATTTGGATATAATTAAGAGTATATTTAAATGTTTAAAACAATTTATGTTTATAAAAATATAATTATTATGTTTTAGTGCCTTTTTCTTACATTATAATAATAATAATAAAGTTTATATTATAATAAATTATATTATTAATAGTATTAATAATAATCTTAATATTATTAATAGTTTATATAATAATAAAGTTTATATTATAATAATTATTAGATATTATATTGTTAAAGTACATGAAATGATAACTTTCAGAAAATGAAGCTATTGTTCAACAAAAGATGGCATCTAAACGATTGCGTTATTGTGCACCACAAGCTGATATTACGAGTTCTGATTACGATGTTGTTGAATCTTCGTGTGAAATATTAGAGTTATCTCATAGAAAAAAAGTAAGTTTATTATTTATATATATTATATGACAATAACAATATAATAAAATATGTAAGTTTTTACTATTTTTAGAATAAATAATAGTATTTATTAATATAGTTACAATTTTTATTAAATATTAATTGTTATTATTATAAAACATTGTGATAAAGAAAATATATGTTTAAATTAAATTGTTTTTCTTTAGAATAAAAACGGATTTTGTAAAACTTTAGTTTTAAAAACTTTAAATCGAAAAGCTTTGAAATAAAAACTAAAATAAAATACTTTATTATTTCTAAAAATATTTGTACTATTTTAATATTGTTAAAAGTCAATTATTGGTCTATTAAAAAATAAACTATTATACTAAAAATCTTATAATTGTATATTTGCTTTTTTTAATGTAATAAGCATTGTATAAAATTTTATCTTATGCAGTAATAATGTTTTTCTAGGATAAGAAAGATGTCGCAAAAAAAATGTAGCTATGAAAGTTAATCAAGAAATTTTACAAATGCATAAACAAAATAATTTCCTAAATCAAAGACGGAAAATTGATGATAGTGTGGTAGCAAGCTGTTCAAATCAAAATGTTAAATATAAAGGTACTGAAACATTTTGCACTGTTACGATCTATAAAAGATTATGTTTCAATAAATTTTTTTAATATTTCAATTTTTTAACAGATATGTTTAATACCGATGTTAATAAGCAAAATAAAAACCAGCAACAAGATGATTTTGAAAATATTTCTGAAGACAATTTAAATACTTCTGCAGATGGACCTGCAGAATCTGTAGATGGACGAATTTACCGCGGTATAAAGTCCAAAAACGTAGAACGTGTAAGAAAAAGATTATTTCACCCAAATTCAATGTCTGACTCTTCCGACAGTTCTTGTGGTAAGAAACATTTTAATTTTTAAAGGAATAATAACTTTAAAATTTGTAAATTACAATTATTTTCTTTGTCAACGACAAAGCCGGTTATGTTACAAATTTGAGATAATAATTAATAGAAAAAAATTAGTCGATAGTTGATAGTACAACTAATTAAAAAGTTATGAAAATAATTTTTTTTGCTTTCAGAAACATTTAATTATAAAAAATGCGCGGATAAA